CTTAGTTTTCCATCTACTTATTTTTCAATATTCTTATGAATAAAAATTTGCTATAAAACTGTATTAATTGATAGTTAATAACCACACAATGATGAGTTTGTTTTTTATTCTTTACTCTTCTTGCTTTTGTGGGGGGCACCACCCAGCTCCCAAATTAATCATACACAGAGGCTTATTCTTAGTTATGAATTCCTGGTCTTAGATTGGCTTGTTTCTGGCCAGCTTGTCTTATCTTAAATTAACCTGACTACCTTTTGCCTCTGTGCTTTTATCTTTCTCTATTTCTGGATACCTTACTTTACTTCTTACTCCGTGGCTGGCTGGGTGGCTTACCTCTGATGTCCTCTTCTCCTTGTTCTCTTGCTGGTCCTTTCTTTTCTTCCTTGTTTCTTCTTCTATTTATACTCTTCTGCCTGGCAGTCCTGCCTATCCTCGTTCCTGCCTCGCTATTAGCAGTTCAGCTCTTTATGAGACCATTGGGTGTTTTAGACAAGCAAGGAATCACAGCTTCACTGAGTTAAACAAATGCAGCATAAACAAAAGTCACATTTCTTAAAACAATATTCTACCACACAGCAAACTATTTTAGGGCCTTATGCAAGCAAAATGTGCCTTTTTTCTCTTTTATCAAGTTGGTTGGAATAAGTAGCCAAGACTAGTGAACCAGCTGGGAGATATACAGGAATCAGGTTTAGTCATTTTTGCTCTGCTATCATACTGCTTGCATCTAGACAAGAAGGGGAACAGCTGTTTTCCCTGTCCAGGCTTTATTTAGGAAGGAAAACCCACACAGAACCTAGTGCTTATGATTCATAAGCCTGACAGGATCACCTGACCTTCTCTAGCTGTAAGAGATTCTGAAAAGGTAAAGAAATTCTAGAAATAGAGGAAAACAGTCTTTGAAATAGAGGAAAACAGTGTAGCCAATCAACAGCACCTGCCATGATGGTTTTGTGTGTGTGTGTGTGTGTGTGTGTGTGTGTGTGTGTGTGTGTGTGTGTGTAACTTCTATTGTATCTGTCCTCAGCAGTTTGCTGATTTCACACTAACATATTGAAATTATAAAGACAAGGTACTCTCTAAAGTATAAAATGTCTTACAGTCATATTGAAATGATTATTGGAATTTTCAACTTTCATGAAAATTTAAGTCCTCGTTTATTTTTACTTTGATTCTGTATTTCATATAGTAGAACTCCATACTCTCTGCTAATGAACACAAGGGTTTTTTTTTTTTTTCCTTTTTGTATCCTTTCATAGTAATTATTGGGATTTCCTGTTTCATATTGAGTGCACATTTTTCTTTTTCTATAGAGGTTCTGCTGTTCTTAGATTTATCTCTCTGTGTCTGAGTAGGAATTGCACCTAAATTATAGAAAAAAGAAAACTGTCAATTCATCAGCTGGCTATGTATTCCTCTTTCCTTTTATAAGGCACATTTTGTCCTAACTCTGGTTTATTGGGTTGAGTAGCTGCATCCTGGAAGTTACCCATGCCAATCACGTACACCCTGATTACTAATTATGAGCCTTAGGATACTATACAACTCACTAATGAGCACATTTTAATGCTGGCCAGTGCTAATTAGATGATAATCATGTGCATTATTTTATTTACAGTCTATCCATTTAAATTAATTGGGCATTTAATTGAACACAGTTTGAAAGAAATAGCAATTGAGTTGAGCTGTTTATTGAAGTTCCTTTCACTTGTCATCTCATATGCAGGTGAGATTATTCACTTGCTCTTGAAATTCAGAAAAATACAAATGAACATAATGCCTATTTTGCAATGGTGCCTGTGTATATGCAAATTGCTCTCAAAGTATGCTAGGAAACAGCAATGAAATTTGCAGTTCTCTTAAAATTCTCTACTGACATCTTTCTGTGTCCTGATTACAGAGAGATTTGATTGCATAAGAAATATATCATCAACCAAACCCTTAGGTAAATGAAGGATATTAGATCCAAAGCCAGCCCTATGAGAATGTTCTGATCATTTCTTCTTTTTAAAAAGGGCAACAGCTTTAAAAATCATATTTATTTATTTACTGTGCATATGTGCCTGTCTCTGTGTGTATGCACGTACACACACACACACACACACACACACACACACACACACACACACTCATGCCTTTGTGCACACATGCATGCACCACACCACGTGTATGGAGGTCAAAGGACAACTTGTAGGAGTCTATTATGGTTCTCTTCTGCTGCTGCTGCTGCTATGTGGGACCTGAAGATCAAATTCAAGTCATCAGCTTGTCAGCAAGTGTCTTCACCCACTGAGCCATCTCACAAATCCACCAATATTTTCTAAGATAGAAAACTAAAAATTTAACTCTTGGCTAATATATGGAAAAATACTCTTAATTTGGATCCCATGTATTTTCCTGTACTAGGACACAATATCAAATATTCCAGGCTTCCCATTTCTAAATGAGTACCCCATTGCTGAAAGTTGCATGTTTGCCTGCAGCTCTAAATTCATGGTGTCCATTCGCTGAGATGTTTTGTTCCATGTGCTCACAGAGCAGACACAGAGCAATTGGAGTTGGAAGAGCATTGAACAAAAGAATCAGGAGGTCCATTGTAACAGTGAGTCTTCTATTGCTGTGATCAACACCACAATCAGAATCAACTTCTCCAGTCAACCCTTTCCTTCTCACCAATTACTTAGAATCACTTTATTTAACAGGACAACTTTTATTCATTCCTCTCACACACTCCACAGATGTCTTTCTAGGAAACAGGCAACCTCCCAGAAACAGCCCTTCCTTGCCCTCTGCAAACCCGACAAGTGAGTTGTGGTCTTCCTTATTCAAGAGTTGAGGATGAGTATACTACAGAGTTTACTACAGAGCTTAGTTCCTTTCTAGCAGTCATTTATTCTGAAACTTACTTGACCCTGAAGGCACTCCTCCACCCTCTGCCTCCCCAACCTGGGACTTGCAGCAATTCTGAACTTTCAGGTTATCCTGCTAGGCACCCCTCCTTTGCCGTTCTTTTTAACCAGGAAACACCAAATGACAAGTAACAACAGCAACAATAATTGTACATTTCACAATATCACAGCCCAGTCTCCTCTGTAGGCAGATAGTGATTTGGTGGGCATGGGAAGATGAAGTTATAAGCAGGATGGACTTCAGAGTAAGACGGGTGAGGGGCAGGTGTTGCGATGACAGTCTGGCCCATGGGAACCATTTCTTTTATCACGAGCTGTTTTTTGGACATTTAGCGTGTGTATATATTTGCTGCATATTTAGTGTGCATGTACGCATGTGTGTGTGTGTGTGTGTGTGTGTGTGTGTGTGTGTGTGTTTGTGTGCATGTATGTGTGGTCATTTTCATAGACCCCTATATTTATTTGGGTAGACAGAAATATCTTGTCTCATCTTAGGGTTTTCCCAATGTCTGTTTTGTCTGTTACCTGCCATTTCCTTTCTCCTGGCGTTCCGTTGAAGCTGCTTGACTTTACTGGTTAATGTGTGTCCTACTGACCCTAGCCCATCTGTTTCCCCCCAAGAGAGACACTGGATAGCCAGAGAAGAGCAGACTCAGTGGATGCATGTTATTGGGCTTCAGGGTAGGGTGGTGTGTGGACAGGAAATTTTCCTTGCTCTCTCCCGAGCATCAGACCATAGATCTCTCATTTTTGTACTGAAGACTTGCTCCAGCCAGAGAGTCATTCTTTGATCCACTGCCAGACAAGGCAGCTGCAAGATTTTCTGTTCGTCTGTAGTCTTACATCCAAGGCCCTCATCTCTTATGTATGACTCACTTCTTCAGCTGTAGTTTATGTCCCTACACTCAAGGGAAGCAGTAGCTAGTGTTCTCGCACTGAACAAGGGCTGCCAGGCTGCTGCAAGAATAGACAGTGCACCCACAAAATTTACACAGATTTTCAGCCCATTCTTCTAACTTTGGGTTCTTCTGTCCTTTTGCCCCATCCTTCCAGACGAACCCTGAGACTTTTGCATCCTAGCCTTTCCAGGGGTCTGTAGTAGGAAATGTGCCTACAGGCTTTGCCTGGCTAATAGATTATGTGTCAGTTTCCTCTGGTCTTTAAAATCCATTGTCAGAAATTTAGCTCACACACTTTTTCCTGGCATCATTTCGAAATTTTCTTTATTCCTGAGGCTGCATGCTTTCTTTTATACCATAAGTAGTGGTATTTAGTGGTATTCTGAAGAAAATGACAAACATGGATGTTTTTCTATGATGTGTAACTGGATTATTATGTAACAACTTCAGAGGTGATGCATTTCCATTGCATGACTAGGATTTCATAGAAACGAGGGACATCAGGTGATACAAGGGCAGGAAATGAATAGTAGAAGTCCCGGCAGAGAGTTCCCTGATCCACACTGGCAGACCCAGCTGTAGTGCATAGTGACAGCAACACCCGAGTCTTCAGTCTATGTCAGTGCATCTGACTGGTGACCTCTCCTATTCTTTAGCTCATCTTTGCCCTCCCCAAGCCTGAGAGATTCCAGAACATGAAAGTGTTCCTTTCTCTGCTCATGGGATTAGAAGTAAATGGATTTGATTCCCTATAGAAAACAAACAAAACGTAATCAAGAAATAGCAGTAGCCTTGAGTCCTTAGTTCTTGACCTTGACACTTGAGTGCAGGTGACACAGCAGGCTTAGTGTACAAGGAGCTTTCACAAGGGCAAGAGATAGTTCTCTGCCCCAAAGGAGGACTCCTTGCCCTCTCACTAAGTCCTAGATCAGCTCCCACCCAGAGCAGCACAAGGTAGTAAGTAAGCAGCTGCCTGACCTTAGATTTTCATTCCCTCTAACCGTAGGGTCTCACTTTTCTACACAAACGTTTCAAAATGAGTTGTTACTGAAGGTCACTCAAAATTAGCTTGGATCCCAGTGGGTGACTATATCTGTAAAACACTAACGATTCTCTGTATAGTTACAACAACCTGTAGCCCTCTTGGACTTGATGCATTGTTATCTGTGTGTGAAGTTCGTCTTGAATCAGGTCAACTAAGAGGGGCTCCTGTGCTGACCAGCTTGTAATATGCTCCCTTCTGGGCCATCAGTTCTTCATGGGTCCCCTTTTCAATCACCACCCCTTGTGACATGACAGCGATGATATCTGAGTTTTGGATGGTAGACAATCGATGGGCAATGACAATACAGGTCCGACCCTCTCTGGCTTTGTCCAGAGCAATCTGCACAGTCTACAAAAAGAAGATGGTGAGTCAATAAAAAGATGCAGGATTGTTCCCAGCCCACTACTGTGAGGGTCCATTTCAAATAGCAGCCGAGCAAGAGCTCTGTGCTTAGGGGTAACCCCAAAGACTGAGCACTTAAGGAGATGAAGCAAATAGCTGTGCATACAGTCCAGCTATGCTTTATTTAAATTGCAGCCCACTCACTAAGAAAGTTCAGTGATGCAAGAATGAGTTAAATAAAATGTGACTGTGTAATTTCACAATACTAAATTGTCCAATTTTCTAAGACAAAACCAAAAAGCAAAGCATGGGAACAGTCAATGGTTTCTGATACTCCCTTCAATGAGGACATGTTAGCATGCTCGAAAATGAAATCCTGATTTTTAAAGATGTAGATCATAAACTCTGAATTTCATAGTTGTTCTCTCACCTACATGATCTACTGTGGAAACTCCACATGGCTACCACCTCCTTTTAGGTGTTTTGTATGGCCTACTTACTCTGTCACATAATCTGAAAGCTATAAAACATGTTATGTTTCATGGATGACCTGAATTGTTTTAATTTATACAAGAAAATGAATTACTTGCCTTTGAAAAACGTCATTTAACGCAAAGTGTCTTATAGAACAACTATTTTAAAGTAAAGTTCTTTTTAGTGACAGTAGCCCTCTTAGAGCATTATTTGTATATTACTGTCTTTTGCTCCCTAAGAAAAATATTGTCAGTTTCCACTACAAATGATTAAGACACCTGAAAATAGTGTCATTTTATATGCACAAATCTTTCAACAAAGACTCCTCCCCAGTAACCTAGGAGTTTAGAAAACTAACACATACCTTTTCACTTTCTGTGTCTAGGGCAGATGTGGCTTCATCTAGTAGCAAGATTTTAGGATCACGTACAATGGCCCGGGCAATGGCAATGCGCTGTTTCTCCCCTCGAGAAAGTTGAGAGCCCTGGGTCCCAACATTAGTTTCATATTTCTAGGGGAAAAAAAAAACATAGCAAGTTTGAAAACTAGAGAATACAGCCATTGCTCATGTACTGTTTGGAGCCCACAATAATAACTCTGCTGTGAGTTCAATTTTTTTTCTTTTCTTGAAATTAGAAACAGGGATTGAATGCAATAAAATATATCAAATCTGCTTAGAATATTAAATATATGAAGTTTGGGCTGGAAAAATGGGGGGGATTCCCATCTCTACAGTTCTTTAAGGGTTATACTTTTGATCCCTTCCTATGTCCAGCAGATAGCACATAGCAGATCTTCCTTGCTTTGGGATTCTCTGATTTCCAGACTTTCATCCAAAGATCTTTTGCAAGATAGGCTAATCCCAGGGGTAGAGAAGCCTTTAAAGGCTTTCTAGTTGACTTCTTCCCTTGAGAAAACATTCTGGGACACAAGCCTTGGTTATGCTCTGTAGCTTACTAGCCTTGTGAATATCATACGACTTGTTTAAATGTGTTTGAGCCACAAACTTACCTGTAAAATGAAATGTTAGTATTTAGCACACATATCTCCTGTGGATTTTTTTATGAAATTAGGAAAGAAAATATCTGGCTAGATACCCAGTACAGCTAAGTTAAAAGTAGTTAACATTCATACAGTATTTAATTGGCATTGAGGAATGTGTGGTTGTTGTTGCTGCTGCTCCTTCTCCTCTTCCTCTTCTTCCTTTCTCCTCTTCCTCTTCCTCCTCCTCTTCTTCTTTGACAGGGTGACAAGGTCTTACTGTGTAGTCCTGGCTGTCCTGGAACTCTCTACATAGAACAGGAAGGCTTCAAACTAACAAACTCCTGTCCTTGTCTCCCAAATGCTGGGATTAAAGGTATGCACACCACAGCTAGCTAATTATTCTGAATAGAGTACCATTTCATAACCACAGAAATTAAATTCTTTTGATTTTATACATTATAAAACTGAGGCATAGAAAAGCAAGGCGATTGAACAAAGGCAAATAAGCAGTAAACAACAAATATGAAGTTAAGTCTTGACCTATCTAGTTTCTGGTCCTCTGTTCTTGTCCCTTACTCTAACCTGCCTGCTTGTGTTTCCTGTCCTTGCCTCCTGAAAAAGTTCAACTAAGACAGGAGAGAGCCGAGAAAAATTATTATGAATTCTTGCATTTCATAGGCACGGTACATTTTGTTATCACATTGTAAAATGTCTGCGAGCATTTTTAATAGGAAAACACTGCTTTAGTAAGTTTAAAAAATCTTTGCTTTTAGGCACACTAGCAAGCACACATATTCAGAATGTTCCTTTGCTGTTCAATTTAGGATTTTCAATATGCTTGCTTGTTAGGCTGCCCAGCTTAGAAGGACATGAGCCTATGTCTGAGGGACCATTAAAAGAGCAAGCAAAGAAAGAAAAAAGCACACCGCAAGCAGACAGTTTACAAATGTTACAATCCAAGAAAAAAAGCAATTTCCAACTGGTATTGTAAAATCTGGAGTGGAGAAGGCTGCAGCCTATAACAGATTTTACATTTTCTTGTATTTGTTTCTTGTAATTAAACAATTTTCTTGTAATTAAACAAAGATTTCTTGTAATTAAATAATCACCAAGAAAGATTCCTGGTGAATGAAAAATGCATAGTAGAGACCACCAAACTCAGACTCGACTCTGGAGAAATAAAAGGCAGCAAGACAGATGCAACTTAACCTACCACACACACACACACACACACACACACACACACACACACACATACTTCGAAGAAAGGATGGCTGTCAATTGCTGCTGCAGCTTTCTTTGTGTGGCTGATTTTTGAACCCAGAGTCTTCATGCATGAACTCTAGCAGTAATCTATTACCCTAACCTTTGACCTCTATGCTCCCTTTTTAATATTTTGGAGTTTCCTTGCATTTTGCAGATGGAATCGACAATATCAGATTGGATAGGTAGGCATCCCAAAATTACACACTCGGGTAATTAATGAGAAAGCTTGCATTCAAACCTATGTTAAACCTCTGGATTTCTTTCTACCAGGTTGTGTTATGCTCTATGGGTATTGTTTTATATACAGCAATTCTACAGCATCCATTTTGTTTGACACTGTAACACTTTCTAATATGTGGTGATAGAGGACATTTGTTTTGCTTTAAAAACTAAGACAACACAAGACACTGGAAAATAAATAGTGTTGCCTTTGAATTTGAGCTACAGTCCCGTTGCTTTCTGGGTATCCTAACTCCACAGCACTGTGTTCCTGTACAGAACAATAGAGTTGGTGTTTACCTGGGGGAGTGACATGACAAAGTCATGCAGCTGAGCCTGCTTTGCAGCAGCTATGACTCTTTCCATAGAGATTTCTTTGGTGTTGTCCCCATACTTGATGTTATCCATTATGCTACAGCCAAACAACACAGGCTCCTGGGAAACAATTCCAATGTGTGAACGGAGGAACTGCACATTGACTTTTTTGCTGTCATGCCCATCTATCATCTGCCAAAAGAGATGACAAAAAAGGGCAAGAAGTGTTAGTGTGCCAGCAGTGAGGGAAGTTCCTATGGTGGAGTTAGGTGCTGGACAATGCATTTGTTCTGCTTAAGAGTGGACATCCCCAGTTTGGAGTCTAGGAAATCTATGGGGCCTCTGGTAGTGGATCAGTATTTATCCCTAGTACAGGAATGGAGCCCATTCCCCACATAGAGAGATACTCTCTCAGCCTAGACACATGGAGGAGAGTCTAGACCCTGCTCTAAATGATATGACAGACTTGGCTCTAAATGATATGACAGACGTTGAAGATCCCCTATGGAAGGCCTCACTCCCCCTGGGGAGCAGAAAGGAGATGGGACAGGGGGTCGGTGGGGGGCAGCGGAGGAGGGGAAGGAAAGGGAACTGGGATTGACATGTAAAAACAAGCTTGTTTCTAATTTAAATTTTTTAAAAGGAAGAAAAAATAAAACTCTTAAAGAAACTCTTTAAGAAAAATCTTAAAGTTGGAAGAAAAAAAAAAAACAAAAAAAAAAAAACAAAAACAAAAAAGAGTGAACATCTCTACAGACCTGGGGGAATAAACATCCAGAAACCTGTGGCCTCTGGAACTTGTTTCTGATAGGCATGCCTTCAAAGCTGTTTGTTTTGATGTTGTTTTCCTCAAACTCTAGCTCCACAGGTATTATATAAATGAGAAAGGATCTCAGGACAGTATTTAGTTAAGAAAGAAAGCTCTCCTTTAGTCTGGACATAGCCTAGTCTGTTCAGATATGCATACTTTTTGTATTCTAAGGCTTTGTGACTCTGCCAAAGGAGAGGGAGAGGGTAGGGGCTGGGGTCATGGGGAGAGACAGACAGATGCTGTTAGATGCCATGAAGATCAAACCTGTGTCCTTGGCTTTATTGACAATATTCTCTGGACAGATGAGTTAATAAGTCCAGGGGAAACTATAATTGTTCTCTTAGTTACTGTCACACATATGGAATCATCTGCCAGGAGGCACCATGGAAACAGTCTGTGTTCTGTATGTTCCCTGGGAACTCACAGTCCGGAGGTTGTGCTATTTAAGTTGGTTCACTTACGATTCTGAACATTCTACTCCAAAGGCAGAGTAAATCTAACATATTGATGGTAAAGTATTTAACAGTGTGATTTCAGAAAAAAATAGACTGTTTCAAATAATGTAAGCAGGATATATTTTAGGTAAACACTATTTAAAAAGAAAAAGGTGAGGACAGCAGCCCTCAGGACAGCAGAGTTAGTCCTTACTCAGCCTGAGGCATTTCCCATAGCACCTATTCCTGCAAAGCACAACTTAATATTTAGTCAGGATTAGGGTTAGGAAACAGAAGACATGTTCCATGTTGCTGAAGAATCTCTAGACAGTACTGAGCATATCATAGATGCCTAATTAAATATTGAACATACGGTACCTGTGTTTGGTAGATTGTCTAAAAGCAAAGAGGATTGTTTTTAATGGATTAAAGCAGAGTTTTCCGACTTACAGTCTTCACACATACATTTTACAATGAGCTTACAAAATGTATTGTGCCTCTTAAATGCAAGAAATTGTGAAATGATTGCTTCTTCCAGAGACCAGAGAATTCAATGTGTTCAAAAGGGAAACATACTTAGTGCACATGCTAATGTTGGAGAGGTCAAACATGGTGGATTCAGACTGCAGCAGTTTACATCTACCTGGACAATAGACATGGCAGAGCTGGCATTTTGGAAAACGGAGCTCTTTCCCTTCTAGAGATCAGATCTCTAGGGCAATGCACCTCCTAGGTTTGTCAGTCCCCAAATACTTGCAAATAAATTTAAATCTTTACATCTAAAATCAATAACAGCAAGGGTCATGAAGCACAGGCAATTGATGCCTACTCCTTATTTTCATATCTCCTGGATTCTGCTAATATCTGCTTGCTTCTTTTCTTTGTTCTATGTAAGAGAACCTCACTTTTCTCTCATGTTTTCTCTTCAAAACCTTACCTGTCCCCATTGCAGTGAACATTATACTATTCAGGAAGATCAGAAGGAGCATTTTTAACAGTACTGGCATATGTTGGGGAAAAATAAATAAAGCAGCAGAGATTCTTAGTTAAATCATGAAAACAGAAATTGGGGCATTTAGAGACACAGAAGTAATAATTACTAGGAGAACACGAAACATGAAGTAGGAAGGAAGTTGTCTTTGAGCTAAGAAACACAGAGGAATTAAATTAAAGTTACTTCAATTAAAAATCTTTCTTATGCCCATCCCATATGAAGGGATGCTCTCTTGACCTAGACATATGGGGAAGGACCTAGGCCTGGCCCAGGATGATGTGGTAGACTTTGGGTAGCCCCTTTTAAGGGCCTTACCCTGCCTGGGGAGTGGAGAGGGGATAGCTAGGGGCAGGTGGGGTGTGGGGGGGGAGGGAGAGGGAGAAGGAATTGACATCTGAAGCAAGCTTGTTCCTAATTTGAACTAATAAAATAAAATAAAAATTAAAAAAGAAAAATCTTTCTTATTTGATTGTCTAGTCTGATGAATATATTACCTGAGAAGAGGGAGGAGGAAAAGAGAGGAAGAAGTACTTAGAAGAACCAGCAATAAAGCTGTTCACCGTGTTTCAACTATCCTTGCCAAAAATTTATCCCTGTGATTTTCTCTATTAGGTAGGCTTAAGCTTCTTGGACCAGATTGTCTCAAGTTTTCCATGCTTGCTCCCTTGTCTTGCTTACTTAATCATTGTGTCCCTTGTCACCCTACTTTTTCCATCCCCAGCCATTAGTTTCCTGATTAGTCTGCACTTTCTGCTCCATTTACGGGTAAGTAAATGGCTATCAAATACACTCGTCCCCAGCTTTGCAGTGTGTCCAGTTTTCTTTCCTAACTGGTCAGCAGGCCATCTGGAACTGGGAAGAATGTGATGTTAGAAACTGGGGGGGGGGGCAGAATCAGGTCAACCAGCAAATGATGGAAATGAACACATCCACAGGGGCAAGGGTCTAAGACAAACACTTCAATCTGGCAAGGTTCAGCCTTGGAGACTACTTGGGGGAAGATCTTATACAGAAAGCAAAATTCTTGAAGGCATTTGCCCCACTCACCACCTTCCCCTGGTCAGGGTCATAGAAGCGTTCCAAGAGCTGAATGCTGGTACTTTTGCCGCATCCACTGCTTCCAACAAAAGCCAGTGTCTGCCCTGGATCCACGGACACTGAGAGGCCATTGAGAACTTGGCTATCAGGTCGAGAAGGATATGTAAATTTGCAGTCAACAAAATCAATCTTCCCTTGGAAGTTGTCCTGTGAATGAGAGGACTGGAATTACCTGTGCTCCTGCTGGAGCCTAAAACATGGGAAATGGACCTAAATGTACACAATGGTATGGAATTATGCATTATGAAACAGCAACTCAATGAGTGACATTCTAGTCAGGGTAACGGCACACAAAGGTAATCCCAGAACTCAGGAAGTCGAGGCAGGAAGATAGTGAGTTCACTGGAGGCCAGGCTGGGCTACATAGGGAGACTCTGCTCCAAAACAAGCAAGCAAGGGAATACCACTGCAAAATTGCATTTTCTTCCCAGTGCTGGCAGGTGTAGCACAAAGAGAGACAGGGAAATTAAAGACATATGATCTCTTAACCTCATTCTGAACTGAGGGTAGTTCCTCATCACCCATTCCTTTATAGTTAGAGTGGAAGAAAACAGCAAAGTTGATGCACCAAGGAAGCCAGCAATTCTCTGAGTTGTTATAACTTGTTCTTTAAAATAATGAATTGAAAACAAAGTTGTTTGGAGTCTGTGCCACAAAGATGGATATTTTAGTGTGTTTCAAACTATCTGGTGGAAAATAACAGCCATTTTCTGGCTGCCTGTGACAAATGCCACAATTAGCATGGATATGAAAGTGTCTCTAGAATGTTGGCTTCAGGTATATACCCTAGAATGACATAGCTGAGTCATGTGGTAGGTCTATTTTCAATTTTTTTTTTTAAAAAGGAAACTCCATGCTCATTTCCATAGTGGCTTCACAAGTTTACATTTTATCACCAGTGAATTAGAGTCTTTCCCTATATCCTCACCAGTACTTATTGTCATTTATTTTCTTGACCATGGTCATTCTGACTGGGCTTATATAGTCTTTCAAAGCAGCTTTATTTGCATTTCTCTGACGGCTAGGGATGTCAAATATTTTTTCAAGTGTCTTTTGCCATTTGTGTGAGGACTGTTGATTCAGCCCCTTAGCCCATTTATTGTTTGGATAATTTGGTTTGGGGAATTTTAGATCCCAAATATCAATCTTTTGTATATTTGGGAATTTTTTTTTTTTTTTTTTTGCCTACTCTGTAGTTCCTTCACTCTGGGATAGTTTCATTTCATGCAGAATATTTTAATTTCATGCAATTCCAGTTTTCAGTTCTTGGGTTACTTTGCCAGCCTAGATATCCATCAACAAATAACTTCATAAAGAATAATACATAATGGAATTTTACATAGCCCTAAAAAATTAAACCACAACATTCTCAGGAAAGTGGAGGAACTATAAATCATTACATTGAACAAAATAAGACAGATTCAGAGAGGTAAACGCAATGTTTTTTCTTATACTCAAAACCTAAATTTATGGGGGCCAGAGAGGTGGCTCAGAGTGTAAGAGCATGCACTATTCTTCCTAAAGACCTGAATTTGATTCCAGCGCTCATGTTGGGTACCTCATTGATTGTAACTTTTGCTCCAGGAGATTCAATGCCCTCTTCTGGCCTCTTTAGGTACTGCACTCATATGCACAAGCCCACATACGGACATACACATAATTTAAAAATAAAGTAAAATAACATATGTATGTATATGTGGGTATGTACCTGTATGTATCTGTGTATAGCTCATGAAACTAGAGGGAGAGATCTGAGGGCAGTGTGGGGGGAGAAAGCAATATCATGCATGTAATCAGAAAGCAGAATAGGGACAGTTTAGTTAGAGAAAGGGAATCAAGTTGAGGGGAGTTTTAGGAGCATGGAGGGTGAAGGAGGAAGTGAGAGAGGGAACAACTGATCATAAAGTATAATGGTGTGTGCATGTATGTAAGTGCTGTGACGAGCCTATTACTATATATGATAACATAAAACATTAATTTAAAAACACTATCTGAATTATGAACTCTAGAAAAAGGGTAAACATTTACAGAGAATAACTCCATCAAGCTGAAGGGAAAATAAGTTACTTGACCAAGAATTTCATAATTTAGCTTAGCTTTACTGGCCTTTGTTCCCTTGAGCATATGAAAAATTGTTTAAATAGGCAAGCAAGATTAAAAGCCCCTTGATGTTAAATAAATTAAAAAAGGAAGGATAGTTGGTTGAATATTCACTAATTTTATGTAATTCGCGTGAGCTAAAACTTGAACCTAGATGAATATGAATCAAATCAGTATTACGGGACAAAAAGATCTAGCCTTTCTATTTCATACCAAAACATCAGCAGAAAGCATGGCCAGAGAGAGCAAGATAAGAGATAATATAATAGAGGGAAATGTTATAAGTTCAGAGAGAAATCAGGCACTAGGGAAATGTCTGGAGAGCTACAAAGATGACACCAACTAACAATCTAAGCAACAGAGGAGAGGATACCTTAAATGCCCTCTCCTGATAATGAGATTGATGACTAATTCATATGCCATTGTATAGCCTTCATCCAGCAGCTGGTGGAAGTAGAAGCAGATACCTACAGCTAAACCTTGAACTGAACTGAAATCCAGTTGCAGAGAAGGAGGACTGATGAGCAAAGGGGTCCAGACCAGGCTGGTGAAACTCACAGAAACAGCTGACCTGAACAAGAGAAAACTCTTGGTCCCCAGACTGATAGCTGGGAAACCATCATGGGACTGATCCAGACCTCCTGAATGTAGGTGTCAGTGAGGAGACCTTGGAAATCTATGAGGCCTCTTGTAGTGGAT